ACACCAGAGTTATCATGACATCAGAGTTAGCATGACACCAGAGTTAGCGTGACACCAGAGTTAGCATGACACCAGAGTTAGCATGATGTCAGAGTCAGCATGATGTCAGAGTTAGCGTGACACCAGAGTTAGCATGACACCAGAGTTAGCATGATGTCAGAGTCATCATGATGTCAGAGTTAGCATGACATAGCCATTAGCATGACATAGCAGTTAGCATGACATCACAGCATCACATCATCCATCTAAGGCTCGATGCGGCAGATAAGAGCAACCAAAGTGGACGGCCCAGGGGGAAAACTGTTCCAGGGTCAGTTCTGGCTCATTAAACTTGAGCCTTTTAAGCTGCAGATGGAAATAAATGTTTCCAAGAAGCTTTTAGCTACTTTAATGTTTACATGAGCCAATCAGGAGGAGCCAGACAGAGCAGGAGTCTGCTGTGGAAGATAAAAAACACTGTTTAGACTTTTAGGTGGCCCAGTTGAAACATTTGTGGAAATGAAGATCTGCCTGGAGCTGACGAGGGGGGTGTTCAAGGATGTCCAGATACGAGTACAAATACTTCAGATTTATTTAATGAGTTAGTACTTACACTTTACTCTGTGACTTTATAAAAATATTTATTGTCTTCAGAACTTTATCTTCAAAGGTCGACAAACTACAGTCTCAGTGACCAGAGAGGAAATGACGTCATTAAGTAGTCTGAAGTACCCGAGGGGTTTTATGAGTAGAAGTATTTAAGTACTGTTACCAGTATCTGTGGTGGAACAAAACAAAAGTTAAAGAGAACCAGAAGTGAACACTGAGCTGAATGACAACTGAAGCCTGCTGAAAAGGCTGAAACTGAGACGTTAAACTACAAGAGAGGCAGTAATAAGTGTCAGAAGTCCCGCTAAAAGCTAAATGTATCGAAAATGGTAACTAGAAGCTAAAAACAAAGCCAAAAGCTAAAAGTAGCAGAATAGAAGCTAAAAATAACCAAAGAAACAAAAGAAGATCAATGACGTTCAATCAGATTCAAGTTTTGAATGAAGTGAAGAAACTTGAAAGTGTTTCTGTGAGGAAACTTTTTGTAAATAAAGTTAAACACTTTGAAGAGTCTAAAAGCTGCAGCAGCCATGTCCTGAATGAGCCAAACATTTGGATGAAGGAACAGCTGAAGCAGCAGGTGAACACAACAAACGGCAGTGTTGTCTTCCTGAACATCTCAGCAGTTCTCTGAAGCTTCAGGACCCTCCTCCGAGGCCTGTCGGCTCATGTGAGCCTCCTTCCTTCTCTGTGGGAGTGGAATTTTACCAGCTGGCCTCCTCTGTGGCCCCCGCTCATCAGGAGGTGGCGCACTGCCCTGATAGGAGGAGGAGCTAAGTGTTGGCTCCGCCTCTCACACGGGCAAGTAGGGTCACACGCACAACCCCACCCTGAGGACCAGAACCCCCCAATACACCAAGTCCCTCTGTATGAGAGGCCACGATTAAAAGATCAATATTTTCATTGTTGTCCCTGTGTCTGCTCTGTAAGAAACTACAGCTCTGCTTTGTAAAAAGCTAGAACTCTGCTCTGTAAGAAACTACAACTCTGCTCTTTAAGACACTATAACTCTGCTTTGTAAGAAAACTACAGCTCTTCTCTGTAAAAAACTATAACTCTGCTCTGTAAGAAAACTACAGCTCTTCTCTGTAAAAAACTATAACTCTGCTCTGTAAGAAAACTACAGCTCTTCTCTGTAAAAAACTATAACTCTGCTCTGTAAGAAAACTACAGCTCTGCTTTGTAAAAAGCTAGAACTCTGCTCTGTAAGAAACTACAACTCTGCTCTTTAAGACACTATAACTCTGCTTTGTAAGAAAACTACAGCTCTGCTCGACAAGAAACTACAACTCTGTTCTGTAAAAACTACAATTCTGCTCTGTAAGAAACTACAGCTCTGCTCTAAGAAATTACAACATTGCTCTGTAAGAAACTACAACATTGCTCTGTAAGAAACTACAATTATGCTTTGTAAGAAACTACAACTCTGTTCTTTAAGAAATTACAGCTCTGCTCTGTAAGAAACTACAGTTCTGCTCTGTAAGAAACTACAGTTCTGCTCTGT